ATGAGGCCTCCGAGGTCAGAAAGTGGCTCACCTATCCCGCTCGGTAGCCTGTGGCGATCCAGACCCAAATCCAAGAATTTATAATGATAATGAGAAGGAGCAGAAAGTCCAGGTGGTCCAGATCTCCTGTTGGGCACGTCATAAACTCCAGCGTACGAGGCAAATCCAACTTTAGAAAAGTTGACACCTGCAGTCTTGGCTCAAGCAGAGTCATGGGTCCCCACCACCAGGGCTCTGGGACCCAACTGGGAGATGCATGTACAGAGGGCAGATGGCTCCCTTCCCCACACCCACCACTCTGAGAGCCTCTCCCCCTTCAGCCAGGAGAAATTCAAGCTGGAAAAGGAACCCTTCTTGAATTCCTCCCACCCCGCTGGGATATCAGTCACTTCCAACTACCTTGTCCTCTGAAGTTTCTTCTGCCACTAACAAAAGTTCCAGCATAGATACACCTGAACTTGACTCCCACCCTGCACCAGCCAGGTGAGCCAAGCAAGCCACTCACCCACAGTCAGGGCAGAGCCCAGCCTGTGGCCAGGGTCAAGGTTTTGTCAATTCCCCCTCCCACCACCGCTGATCCTTTCTTACCTGCTCCTTTGGGCAGTGGGTGTCCCATGGCTCCATATCTGAAGACATCGAGACCTGGAAATCAGAGAGACCTGAGTGTGCATCCAGCTTAATGGGGACTGTGCCCCTAGTGCCCAGGACAGCCAATATCTGAAAGAACAGGTGACTAAATGCACCAACGTGCTTGGGCAGACAATGCCCCTCCTGGCAGCAGGCTGGGCTGGAGACGCTCTGGCCAGCAACTTTGTGGGACTGGGGTCCGAGATCCTGTATCAGCCACCCGTCACCAATGGCAGCCTTTGAGGGTATTAGGCCCTTACCTGAGGGATCCTTTTCTGGATAAAACAAAAAAAGAAGAGAGAGAAAGAAAGTGAGAGAGGGAGAAAGAGAGAGAGGGAGAGAGAGATACTATTGGGGTCGTTCTGATACATTTTAAGTACTTATTTAACCTGTTTCCCCACCCCAGCACCACATAGCTGCAGTGCATTTGGGAGGGTTGGGAGACCTGGCCTCAGTTTTCTCATCAATGAAATGGGATGCATCTCCTGGGGGTCCTGGGAGTCTGTGTGGCCGGGTTAGGGTCTTGGTCAGGGTGTGGGGGAGGGGCTGGGGGGAGAGACTGGGTTAAAACTCTGTTGCCACAGAGCTAGGAGCCCACTGTCACACCCACCATTTTCCACGGGCTTCTCAGCAACTTGAGACTGTTCTTGGCCTTCAGCAGGTTTGGTCACCATGGACGTGAGGGGGGTGACAAAGCTATAGTTGAGCGACAAGCCCAGAGCTTGGGTCTCCAGGGCCTGCTTATCAGCAGCATATGCGGAAACCCTGCAGGTAGAGAGCATCAGAGGGCCAGCAGGTCCTGGATGCCTAGCTCCATTCTCCCTCCCTTCCAGACCCTTGGGGGTGGGGGCGGCTCCCTATGGGAGAGTCTGGAGCTCAGACACCACTCCATGACCCCCCTCTCTCCATACCTAGGAGATGCCCAGGCCACCTGTGCTGTCCCACCCATGAGGAGCTTGGGGAGACACTGAGGCCGTGTGTGGCCGCCCCAGCAGGCCCTTGGTTGTGCAGGCCACCCACATTTGCTCCAGCAGTTGGTGGATGGTCAGGTACGCCCAGAGTCTCTCCATGAAGCCGTGGAAGATGTACTTGGGCTTTTGAAACTCCTCTTCCTGCTTTGCCACCTGGGACTCCATTTGGAAGGTGATGTTCTCCGTGGGCTGGAAAGAGGGGCCCAGCCAGGCGGCAGCAGTGAGGGCCTGCCGCCCTTACCTGGCCTGCCGCTTCCCAGCACTTCCATGAGAAACCTAGTTGGGACTGGGCAGGTCCCACGGATTGGCTGTGAGGACCACATTCCCTTCGAGTAGGTGGGGAGCAGGGAGGGAGTTCAGGGGTGTAAGGGGCTCAGCCACAGAGCCTCTAAGGATGAGAAGGAGGTGGAGAGAAAAGGTAGAAACTATCACAGGTGCAAAGCCAGGAACTAAGATCACGTGCAGCTTTTGGGAGGAAGGACAATGGGAACGGGATCTGGACCCCAGGCCAGTGCAGAAGCAGCAGCAAATGCGTTTAAAGCAGAAAGGGCCCCAAGACGGCCCACCCCAAAAATGGACACTCTGGGGACAGAGGCAAGTGCCTTCCCCAGCAGTCATGGCAGAGTTCGAAAGAGGGCTCAGGCCTTGGTAGGGTTTGGGGCCCCATGTACCCCATTAGGATGCCCCTGACCAAGCTGGTGCCCCCTGCTGGGACCAGGCACTGTCCAGTGGTGACAGCGAAGCAGGTGCCCAAGTTTCAGGTGGACTGCTGCTTCCTTCCCCGGGGTGGGGCCTTCTGCCCTCAGGCTGACCTGGCCAGCAGCCTGGGAAGTGGGGCCTGTGGGCAGAGGAACTCCAGCCTTTCCTGTCACAATTCCCCGGCAGCCAAAAGCCTTAGCGATGTGGACCAGACCCCATCCCCGCTGCTGGAGACGCCTTCCTCTGTCTCTCACCAGAGCCGGGCCTGCCACACCTTTGTCACCTGCAGGCCGCCTGCACAAATGTCCTGTCCACCTGCACAGCTATCTATTGGAAGGTTTTCCTTAAGTGAAAGTTATACAGACTAACACTCTTCACTTGGCCCTGTCCCAAGCAAGACTACCAGGGAAATGCTAGGTCTGGGGTTGGAGTTCTATTTCTCAGAAGATACATTAGGATAAACACGTGATTACTCAAACAAAGACATGTCACCCCCTTATCACCCTGGGTTCCGCACTTTGGGAACTCCCAGCCTCCAGGATAGCACCAGCAGCTAACATGTGTGGAATGTTTACCCTGGGCCACATGTTAATCCCCACAGCTGTCTCACAAGGTGGGTAAGATGTCTGATTCTCATTTTCACACAGGAGGAAACGGAGGCACGGGGAGATTAGGTGAAATGCGCAGGCCTCATCCCTCAGAGGTGGCAAAGAGGGGGTGGAAGCCATGATTCTGGTCACCTGCATGCAATGCTCCTTGTGACACGTGCTACTTCTCTGAGACTCAGCCCTGGTCCCAGCATGCCCCCCTGCCTTGTCCACCTGTTATTCTCCCTGCACATCCTGCGGTCGACCACACATGCCTGAAACATTCCTCCACCACTTCACCATCTGGCCTCTGCCACCTCCAACTCATCCCACAGTCGCAGCTGAGTCCTGTCCAGGAAGCCCTCCCAGATCTCCAGGCCACATTGGGGCTCCCATGCTGTTCCCCTAAGTCTCTGGGTTCTTCCTCTCAGGGACACCCCAGCCTCTGGGTCTTTCCTTGTTTGTGTGATGATTTACCCAATGTCTCTCCCATGAGGGCAGGATCCTTGGGCCTAGGAAGGCTCTGGCTCAGAGCAGGTGCTCAGTTTCTCTCTGTGAAATGAGGGGTCCCCGGTGGCACAGAGGCTGGGAGAACTGGGTGGGGAGAGGGCACCATGTGGTGAGCTGGGGTGGGTCTTGCCTGGGCTGCATTGGGCCCCAGGGCAAGTTGGACCTTGGTCTGCTCATCTGTGAAGTGGGAGCAGCCCTCCCTGCCTGACTGCAATCTCAGAGGGCTGGTGGAGGACAGAGGGGATGTCAAACCCAGTGCCCTAGGGCACAGCAGCAGCAACACAGACTCACTATGAAGTGCCTACCACGTGCAGCCAAGCACAGGTGCTCTCAGCAGAATCAGGACATTATCTCATGGAATCTCCACCACCAGCCCATGCAGTGGGGACTGGGGTCCGCTATGGTGGCAGGGGGCACTTTGTCACTTGGGGAAGGTCAGTCGGCTGGAGTCTGACAGGCTGGAGTTTGAACCTAGCCCCTCTGAATGCCTGCTGCAGCCACCCTTCCACGCCAGGATGGCTGGCCACACTCACCAGCTGCCCGCTGACTGTGGCTGAGAGCACATCAGGGATCTGGGCCCGGAGCTTCCCGGCCACTACCATCTCGGAGCCCTTGAAGAACAGCGGGAAGTTGTCCTGCGTGACCTCCTCCACGGCATTGCCTGGGTACTCGAAGGTCACTGTGGTCAGCAGAGGGTTCGCCACCTCCTGGTAGAAGTCCTGCAGAGTGGGGGGTGTCACGGGGGCAGGCCAGTTCGTCCCTGACTCACCCAGCCCTCAGGGGTAGGCTGGCACCTGCAGCTGCAGGGCGGAGTCCGAGTCCTCGTAGATGCGCCGAGCCAGGCCACCGTTGTCCAGCGCCAGCTTCTCCAGGAAGGCGTAGCTGACGTCGAAGCCAAAGCCCAGGCAGAAGAGGCTGTACTGACCGCCTATGGCCTCCTGCACATTCTTCTGGATCTTCCTGGGGTTGGTCTGGCCTGGACCCAGTGTTTTGGGACAGGGGTGAGAAAACAGGGATTTGCTCAGGGGATATTTTTGGAATCTCAGAGCCAGAGAGGCCTCAGGGACCCCCTCCCTTCCCCAGGTCCCACAGCAAGCCAGGATGGAGCCCCAGCGATGCCCTCTGGGCAGTGTGCCCTGGAGTTGCCACTGTGCCCTCACCCACAGTGGGGTCGCCATCAGTGAGGAGGAGGAGGAGAGAGACGCTCCCTGAAGGCAGCTGCTCCTCCCGGGTGGCTGTGTCCAGCAGCTGCACGGCCATCAGCATTGCATCATTGATATTGGTTCCTGAGGGGCACACAATCTCAGGATGGTTCTCAGGTGGGGCTGGTGCCCAGATACCCCCACCCTGCAGGGCTGCCCTGGCACTCACCTCCCCGGGCCTGGATGCTGTTAGCATATTTCTTGGCCTCCTCCACGTTCTGGGTCGAAGCTGGCACCAGCGATGGCTTCCACTGGCTTGCTTCACTGCTGAAGCTAATGAGGTTGAAGTGGTCTTCGGGCCTGAGGTCCTCTAGGATCTTGATGAGGGCTTCCCGAGTCTGGTCAGGGGAAGGGGAAACAAGGTGTGTGTCTCAGTGGGACCTCCTTGGGGGTTCATGTGCCCTTGGGCTGCACCCCCAGGCCCACACCTGCAGTGGGAACATGGTGAATGCTCCAGGGGCAGGACCAGCTCCATCCTGGGTATCTGGCAGCCTCCTACCCAAGAAGATGGAGGAGGGAGGGTCTGCCTGCTAGACCAGAGCTGACGGTATGAGGCATCTGAGAGTTTTTAGGGCCCTACCCTGGCCTGTGGTACCCACCTGCTGGATTTTCTTGCCCATCATGGAGCCACTGGTGTCAATGACGAAGATCACATTCTTGGGTATCGTGGAGAGGCCCTCGGGGGCAAAGTAGTGCACAAAGTAGCCATTCTCGATCTATGACCAGAGTGAGACACACCCCAGGTGAGATGAGAGCTACAGCCCTGCCCTGCCCTGCCCCACCCCACCTCCTTACCCAAAGTCCCGGGTACCCATCCTCTCCTCATTTTAAGCTCCTCTGTCACAGCCCCACTGCTAACCTCCCCAAATCCTCGTCATCTTTATTTTTTTTATCATTGTTGTTGAAAGTATTACATATGTCCCCCTTTTTTCCCCATTGACCTCTTCTAGTCTGCCACCCCCTCCAGTCCTTCACCACCCTATTGTCTGTGTCCATGGGTTTGTATATATGCATACAAGTCTTTTGGTTGATCTCTTCCCACTCACCCAGTGTAGCTACTCTTTTGCTGAAACATTCCCTGCTATGCATGACCCACTAGAACTCTACTCCACTTTGCTCCCTATTTGTTTGAATATCTGAGGCGGTTTAGAGGTAATAAACCTTATTTAGCAGATGAAACTTTCTGCCTCTGAAAGGGAGTTCTTTCAGGGACAGCATAACTAAACCGCGTGATTTCTGTCTGTTGCCTTCGTTGCACACTGACTGGCAGGAGCAGTTTTTTTGCCTTTTCTTTGGCAACAGCCAGGCTCAGGCTCCTGAGGACGGATGGATTTCCTGGTTATTCTGCTCTCCCCTGGAGCCCACGCACCTGAATGGAGCCTCCAGAGAGGGTGCGGTTCACATCATAGCGGATGATGAAGTCGCCATCCACGACTGTGTCCTGTTGCTCTGCAGACTTCTGTTGCTGGGAGAGCGTTGGCTTGAATCGGATGTGAGCCTGGAGGAACGACCGACTGGGCTGATGTCGGGGAGCAGCGAGGCCATGCTCACACCCCTCACCCCACCTGAGAATCACCCGGGATGAGAACTCCCCCGTAGGTCAAATCCCAGGGAACTTTCTCTGAGGCTGGGCTGTCAGGTGGATGGCCTCAGTACAGTGGATAGGTGTGAGCAAGGAGCCTCTGCTCCGGAGCCGTGTGAGCAGAGCCTGGGCTCAGGATGTGTATGATCCAGCCTCCTCCTTTCCCCCTGGTCCTGGGACCCTAATGTCAGTGTCCTTTCCCAGTCGCCCCCTAACCACAGGTTCAAATCAGCACCCGCCATCTTCCTCTAGGCCTTGCCCTCCTCATCTGCCTCATGTCAGCGCGGACACAGAGACCTCAGTAGTCAGCCAGCCGAGAGATTCTGCCCAATTGTCCCACTCTCTGGGACCCAGGCTCACAGGGCAGCGGGAAGACAGGCCCCTCGGTACCCTCCCCTCCTACCCCCTGTGGCAGGCCCACCTTGGTCTGGTTCTGTGAAACGGTGAGGGCATCTGCAAGCTCATTGGTCATGAAGGTGCTCTCTGTCTCCAGAAAGCTGATGCCCTGAGGCTCAAAGATGTGAATGTCCATCTAGAAGAAGAAGGGGGTCACTGGGTTAGCCAGGAGCCAGGGCTGGGCCTCACAGGAGGCTGAGGGGACAGGGGGACCACCCTCTGCTGCACAGGGGTCACCCAGGAGGCCTCCTGGGAGGAGGCAGTTCCAGGTACCTGCAGGTGCTTGACCAGCTGCTGGGGCTGCACTTTCAGCAGCAGCTCATACACTCCCAGGCGCCGCTTGAGCAACTCCTCGTACACCAGCTCGAAGGTGACCTTGGCAGCGGGGGCCACACTGACCGACACCTGGAACTGCTCCATCTTTCTCCCAGTGGCCCTGGGGGAGGAGGGCATCAGGCCTGCCCCTCCAGGCCAGGTAGGGTATGGACACTGGAGGCAGGAGCAGAACTACAGGCAGGGGCGACTTCTGCCCAACCCCCACTGGGGTCTCCCACACCCCCTTGGGCTCACTTGACGAGGCCAGCGCTCTCCCCTCTGGCCACGGCCGCACTGTACTGCTTCTGGGCTGCATCCTTCTGCTTGATGTTCCCTGGGTACGTCACACCGTCGATGATCCTGGGGCAGGAGGGTGGGTGCTGTCAAGAGTCTGGTGGTGGGGAGGCTCTCTCCAATCCCACCTCCTCCAGGGAGCCTCTCAGGGACTTACTGTGCCTCCTGAGAGAGTGACTCCTACCTGGACCGGACCTCACCCGTTTATTATGCACCTACTGTGTACAAGACTGTGCAGGCCCCGGGGTAAGGGCGGGCAGCCTCTGCAAGGTGTGCCAGGCCTCCATCTACCCCGAGGCATGCACAATGGAAGTGAACATTCGTTTTACTGAACGGACAGGAGAGGAAGGTTGCAGAGGAGACAGGGCTGAGCTAAGTCCTGGCCTCTCTTCTCCCTTCCACTCTGGCCCCACATTCCAATTGCCCCCTCCATCTCATAGACTGTCCCAGAGGAACCTGTCGACCAGCAGCACACGCTTTCTGAGCTGCGCTTGCACCCATCCAAGTGCCCAGCTGTGTGGGGCAGACTGAGGAGGAGGGAGATGCCAGGCTCCCAGGCCAGTGGGAGACACAGGGCTAAAAGGCTTTGAACCCTCTTCCCA